GCGACTGAGTTGGCCGGCCTTGGGGAAGCCAGGCAGCTGGCCAGCTCCCACTCTGTAATTGGGAGGAGTAACCAGCTGCTTTGATGTCTAAGATGGGCTGAGAAAACCTGACAGCAGACTTCAAAGTCTGTTGCGCCAGCTCCCCTGATTATCTGTAGGATTCTGGCGCATCCCCCAAGACTGCCAGATTATCCTGGCTAATGCTGCACTCTTCCCTGCATCCCCCCACCTTGCCTGGTGCCAGTCCCTCGCTTTCAAAGCTGCAGCCTCCATCCCTCCCTGTCCTTCTGCCCCTCCCTGGTCACTGTGGGTATGTGGCAATGGCATTTCTGGATGGGGAGGACATGCCTCCTGAGATCTGTGAAGCAAAGGCAGAGGAGGCATTTTTTGAGAGCTTGCTTATAAGACTGCATCCCTGGGTTGTATTTCCCCTCCCTGTTCTGTTGCAAGAGCAGCCTGAAATGCAGGTTTCTCTCTGCAGCTGCCCTTTGCAAGGCACCAATGGGTTTAAAGCCAAGCAGGCACCGTGTGCCTTTCCCCTCCAAAAAGCCTTTGGGGAGCAGGGCTCCCATCCATGCTGCTCCAGGGCAGGTCATGCAAGCTCAAGGGTGAGGAGGGGCTGGGAGGAGGGTGTTGTGTTGTCTTTTCCCCCTTTAGCCTCTCTGCTGGGACCTTGCTGCCTCAAATTAGTGTCTAGCTCCTCTGCCACCTGTGCTTCAGTGCTTGGGGAGCCCCAGGGTGCTTGTCTGTGAGCAGAGATGCTGAGGATTGGCTTGGATGGGGGTGAAGAGGTGGTAGAGCCATGGATCTGAGCAGAGGACCCACAGCTCATGCTCCTTCCAGTGCGGTTTGCTTTCATCTGGGATGTTGCACAGCAATGTCAAAAGCTCATGGGGGGAACCCTCCCTTTTAAGAGCTGGGGTTTTTTGCTGGTGGTTGTTTGTGGTGTTTTTTTTTTTTTCCTCCCAGAGTGAGCAACCTTGGCAGTGGCTGAAAACCCTTCCTGTGCAAAGGTGGATTTGCCCAAGTTGCAATTTGAGGTCTGGTTTTCTTTGGAAGGTGGATTTCATTGCTACTTTTCAGAAGATAGGCTAGGCTGTGCCCTCTGCTGCAGTGGGTGGAAGCTGGCAATGAATGTGATGGCTGCAGGCAGAGGAAACCACAGCTGCGCTAACCCCAGGCACACAAATGGGGTGAGGGAGCTCGTGGAGTCTGTATAGCGAGACAGGGGATCTGGGCTGCAGCCTTTCCTCAATGCTTGCCTGATTGCTTTTACATCTCAGCAATTTGTTCCACCTAAAAAACAATTCTGACCATGGGGTTGCCTCCTTCGTCCTCAACAGTTTTCTCTGTAGCATTTCTACCCTGCTGTGGGAGTGATCCTCCATTATCCCCATCCCTCCCCAGGCTCCTTGCGATGTGCAAGAGGAGCTGTCTAGTCAGCACTTGTCTGGTCAGTTTGCAAGTCAGCATGGATGTTGCTGATTGTTGCTGTGCTCTTTTAGGTCGAGTCGAACTTCACCCTGGCTGCGCTGGACTTGGTAAAATTTTCCATGCTGCATTATTGGTAGTGTTTTTCTGGAAAGCTTTGGCCCAAAGTGGCTGAGCAGTATCCAGAAAGGATGCCTGCAGAGGGAGGCAGGAGGAAGGAGAATGGGCATGGAGGTGTGGTGGTTTAAGCCCTCCTGGGACTGGTTGCCGTTGCCCCTCCCCCACCATCAGCCAGTCAGGCTGGCAGTGAGGCACAAACCCCGGGTTAAAATAAGAAGAAATTTAATACAACAGTGTGATAAACAATCTGAACAACAACAGTAGCAATGATCACAACAATAAACAGCAATAACAGTACACAAGACAAAAGATATACAGAGAAATACCGAAATGGTTACAGACAGCCCTGTGCTCCCTGTGACCAAAGCCACAAAGGGAAAAAACGTTCCCGGGCTCCAAGCTGGACCTGACATCAGCATGGTATGAATAACCTGGCTGGAGTTCCCTTCCTCCTCTCTGCTGGGGAAAACTTAGCCCTGTCCTAGCTGAACCAGGACAGGAAGCAACCTGACCTCCAGCCTTGTGTTCTGGTCTAAGAGATGGTGGTACCCTGCAGGGGTGTGCTGAGAGGTGGCCCTGATGCTCGGGTGCTGGTGGTAGCCAAGGCTGTGCCAAGGGCTAGAGGTCAATAGTAGTTAATCCCAGTGGCCCTGGTGTACCACTTCAGCTCTCCATGTGAGGTGCATGAGCACATGCACTGCCTGGCTTGGAGGAGGCAAGTCCTCTGCTCCTTGTAAGTATGAGCAGGGACCCTCTGTGCTATCCAAGAAGCATAGTTTCCTTTCACTTCCCATCTGGTGTCATCCCCAGGAAAACAGGGTGAGGGAATCTTTCTCCCCATGGTTTGACTTCCCTGATGTGGTTTCTAGTGGCAATGCTGTTTTGCAAAGGATTCTCTGATCCTCTTTCTCTACCCTGCCTTGTGTGGTTAATAGCCCTGGCCTGTGTCTGGTTGCAGTGATTTTCCCAAGGAGGAAGAGGGTAAATTTTTAGACTGTGCATTCCAGGAAGAAGAGGCTCTGTCCACAGAGCATCATCATTGCCAGTGATAGGGCCAGGCCAGACCATCCTATTCTCCCAGGTTTCTCTACTGCAGATGTAACCAGTGATTGATGCATCATTAGAGTTGCAAGCTTGGAGTTAAACTGTCCCTCTGTGTGTGTTTATCTGCACACTAACTGTTGGAAGCTCACTGAGGTTGAACTCTAAGTTGCCTTTCCATTTCACAGAATCATAAAATAGTTTGGGTTGGAAGACACCTTTAAGACCACCTAGTTCCACCCCCCTGCCATGGGCAGGGACACCTTCCACTAGCCCAGGTTGCTCAAAGCCCCGTCCAGCCTGGCCTTGGACACTGCCAGGGAGGGGGCAGCCACAGCTGCTCTGGGCAACCTCTGCCACTGTCTCACCACTCTCACAGGAAAGGATTTCTTCCTTATCTCCAATCTAAATCTGCCTTCTTTCAGGTTAAACTGTTACCTCTCATCCTACCCCTACACTCCTTGATAAAGGGTCTCTCCACATTTTTCCTGCACTGGAAGGCTGCTCTAAGGTCTCCCTGGAGCCATCTCTTCTCCAGGCTGAACAACCCCAACTCTTTCAGCCTGTCCTCATCAGGGAGTGGCTACAGCCCCCTTGAGCATCTTCATGGCCTGCTCAAGCAGCTCCATGTCCTTCTGATGTTGGGGGCCCCAGAGCTGGACACAGCACTGCAGGTGGGGTCTCATGAGAGTGGAGTAGAGAGGGAGAATCCCCTCTCTTGACCTGCTGGCCACACTTTTTCTTGATGCAGTCCAGGACATGGTTGGCTTTCTGGGCTGTGAGTGCACATTGTTGGCTCACAGTCAGTTTTCCATCCACCAATACCCTCAAGTCCTTCTCTTCAGGGCTACTCTCAATCCACTCATTGCCTAGCCTGTGTTTGTGCATTTATTTTGCATTTATTCTGTCACTGTAGCAGAGATGCTTTCCCTTCCTCCAAAGAGGTAAGTGGGTTGGCTTACTGTGAACAGGATCATCCCCAGGGCACTGGTGGCAGCGGGTTTGTGTTGGAAAGCAAACCTCTTCATCCCTCTGAGATGGGAGAATTTCATCCTGCACCAGGGAATGGGAGTCTACCACAGTTATTTATGCTTATATGCATGGCTGTGCTCTACTGCCATAGCGTGCAGGCCCTCCTCACCAACAGGCGTGCTTGGGTACTGCACCACTTCCCAGCCTCTGCTGTATCTGCTTGCCTCCTCTGAGGAGCCAGCACATGGATTTCAGCCCTGCATTGCACTCTCTTCCCCCCAGAAAAGGTGCTGTTCCTCTGCTCCATTTCATTGCAGTGAGGGTAGGTGGCAGGAGACAAGTGAGATCCTGCAGGGACCTTTCTGCCTGCTGCAACAGCCTGTCCCCCTGGACTGGATTTGGCTTTCTGGAGAGAACCCAACCAAAACAAACCCAACCAAAACCCAACAAACAAACCCAAAACAAACCAAACAAATCCTTTCAGAAAGTGTCTCTAGTTTGAGCCCCTCAGTAGCATTAGGCTGCATGCCTGAGAGCCTGGGTTTCCCCTGCCCAAGCTCTGCCCCTGTCAGCTTCCCACTGTGTCCCTGGCTGGTGGGAGCAGGGCTGTACCCCTGGCCGCGTGGTGCCCACAGTGCGATGCCCCGTGGCAGCCGATGCCACTGCAGTGCTCGCCTTGTGCTGTGGCCGGCAGCCTCCTGCTCTCAGCCTTCCTAGTGCAGCTCCTCGTGATCTTTCTGCCCCTGTGAGCAGTGCTGGTCTGGGATCCCCCTCATCCAGGTGCCTGCCCGTGGGATGTGCTTACAGGAGAGAGTTCCCGGCCAGTTTCTGGCTGTGTGGTGATTCTTCAAGAGCTGATAAGCTGCATGGGCTGGGCTGGCTGTTATGATGGATGATTTTCTGCCCCTGTTGCTGATGGGGTAGTGGGGGTGCTGTGAGAGAGACACCCTCCTTGGGGTACCCCACTGTTTCCCTAGGCAGAGCTTGGTTAGCTGTCCTTGGGGAGCACTGTGCCAACCCAACATTCACCTGAGGCATCATGCTGCTCTCTGCAGCTATGAAAAATAAATAGCTGGGGGGAGCTTCAGCCCTAGATAAATCTGCTCCCATCTCTTCCTGGGATCCAGCCCCTCACCCCCTTTGTAAGCAGCAGAGCCGGAGTGGTGAGGCGAAGTTTTAGCCTGTGAGTTGCTGTCAGACAGCAAAACTGCAGTTGGTAGCGCTGGACACCTGGCATGCACACAGCAGCAGGAGGGGCCTTGGACATCAGCCTTGCCCGGGCAGCGTGGGGTGCTGGCTGTCACCTCCCAGAGGCGTGTTACTTTGCTGTTGCACCCCGCTTCCCAATCTCACTACCATTTCTGAGCAGAGGAAGTCACTGCTGCCGGGCAGCTTCCTCCCAGCCACTTTTGAAACAGCAGGGTGGCTGTCGCCATCACCCATGAGAGCCTTCCACCACCCTCTGAGAAAGGAACCAAGCAGAGCTGTTTCCCATGGGGCTAGTGCAGTGCCTGGTGGCTGCCGCCTCCTTCCTCCTCCTCCTGGGTGAGTGCCCTGCCTGGCAGTGGGAGCTTTCCTGGGGCAGGTGAGGGGGAAGTCAAGCACCTCCTCGGTGTGGATGGGACCTTTGCAGGTCAGTGGCCATTGGGACGTCTTGCTGGGTCTGTGGGGCCAAGATGGTTCTGCTGTGGCCAGTGCTGCTCTGGCTCAGTGGCCGTGGGAAAAGCTGTGGTGGCATGTTCTCCTTTCAGCATTGTAGTTTTACTCCAGAGTGATAGACTGGACCCTGGTATGGTTCTGGTGAGGTGATGTGCGTGCCCCTGTTGCTTGGTTGCTGGGGGTGTGGAGGGGGTTACCTCATTCCCCCTTTCATTGGGAGGGTTTCTTAGGCTATGTCATCACCAGCTCTTTCCTGGCCTGGTCTCCATGTTTGATTTTGGACTTGGTGCCCACGTCTTGTGGGTGTTTGGCTTGGTACATGTGCTGGGCATCAGAATAGACTGAGTGTCACGACTGGGAGCTTTATGGGAGGGGAGAGTGCAGGGGTGTCCATCACCTCCCCAAACCTTCTGCAGGCAGACGTGGAGGGAGCCCTTGATGCTTCCCAGTGTCCCCTGCTTTCCTGTGAGCTCTTGCTGGTGCCCCTTTCCTGCATTGTGCCTGGCTTCTGTCTATGGGGAGCCTCTGTAGCACCCAGCCTACCAGTTCCCTCTGTTCTCACATGTCCCTTGGCTTCTGTGTTGCATCTCCTTCTCTGGCAGTGGTCAGCTCTGGTGCCTGTTCCCTTCCCGTTGCAACTTGTGCAGGACCTGAATGCTTGGCCCTCTGAGTTTTAACACACCACAAGTTTCCTCCAGTGATCTCAGCCCTGTTGTTGCTTCCTCTGAGCAGCTGGCTGAGATATGCTCTCCAACCATGAATAGGCTTGACAGCTCTCTGGTCATGATGCTCTGGTCTCTGTCATGTGACCACCAGTGTGCTGGGAGACGAAGTTCAGGGGTCTGTTTTACAGGACTTGTTCTTAAAATTGCGTGGGGCATGAAGTCCCTTAGCCTTCATGCTTCAGGAATAAGACTGCACAGTAATTCTATTCAGTATTACGTTGCAGTCCTGTGCACACCCAGACCCACTGCTGGTTTGGGTGTGCAGCCCTCAGGTAGCATATACCCCTGCAAACACCGCATGTGCTGTTTCCCAACAGCTTTGAGCACTGGCCAACGGGTGGTGACTATTCAGAAGGGACCCCTCTACCGTGTGAGGGGGTCCCACGTCACGCTGTGGTGCAAGGTGAGCGGCTACCAGGGCCCAGCGGAGCAGAACTTCCAGTGGTCCATCTACCTGCCCTCGGCCCCCGAGCGGGAGGTGCAGATCGTCAGCACCGTCGACCCCTCCTTCCCCTACGCCATGTACACCCAGCGTGTGCGCAGCCGGGGGATCTACGTGGAGCGGGTGCAGGGGGACGCTGTTCTGCTGCACATCATCGAGCTGCAGGACCAGGACGCTGGGGTATATGAGTGCCACACTCCCAGCACTGATGAGAGGTACTTTGGGAGTTACAGCGCCAAGACGAACCTCTCAGGTGGGTCCTGAAAGAGGAGCCTCACTCCCTGCTGGGCAGGGGTGCAGGCAGGTTTCCACTGCCCCTGCCTTTGCACTTGGAAGAAGTGCTCATCTTTGGGTCTCTGACAGAGGGGCAGCTGGGGAAAGGGGTGATTAATGGGACTGGTGGGCACAAATTTTCCTTCTCTCCCTGCTGTGGGATTGCTATCCTGCCCCTGGGTGGCCAGGGTAGGGATGCCCAGGTGTCCCTTTGCAGGTTGCTCTGGCCATTGCCTCCCAGCCAGGACGAGGGAAGGGAGAAGAAGCCTCTGCTGTCCCATGCCCTGACTTTAACTTCAGCTCCTGATGCAGCCACAGCGTTTCGCAGCTAAGCACTTAGGAGGGCAGGAGTTTTCAGGCTGCATTAGCTATTGGTGTCCTCTCAGATCACGGTGTGGGGCTTGGCCTGAGCGGGATATCCACAGACAGAGGGAGGTAGCAGATCCTGTAGAGCACTGGGAGAGGGAAAGCAACGGGATGGAGAGGCAAAAGGAAAGGCCCTACTGTGAGTCCACAGTAGGTATGGCACTTCCGCTTGGTGTTCACCCCTGTTTCCTCCTTTATCCTGGTGGTGTACCAGCCTGCACTTGGGATCATGAGGGGCTGGATCCTAATCTCCTTGAGGCTGCCTAATTAATACTGCCTGTAATTTGAAGAGGGTATTGCAGAGAGATTCACTGTGCTTTCTTCCCTGCTGAGATTTTAACCATTTCACACCTTGACATAGGCTGATGGAAGCCTTGTCAATCAACTACGAAAGATATTTCTTCTATGCTGTCAGATCCCTTAGGGCCTGGCCATGGTTTCACAGTGACTGGCGGGTTGCCCACTGAGGCCAAGAGATGATTTTTCCTGTGACCAGCCGCTCTGTGTTTCTCCTCTGTGCTCAGTGATTGCAGACACCCTCTCAGCTTCCATGCCACCCCAGGTCCTCAACCATGCCGAAGGGGATGCAGTGGAGCTCACCTGTGAGGTGTCGAAGTCCACTGTGCAGCACACACATCTATCTGTTGGCTGGTACCGTCTTCAGGAAGCAGGAGAGCTCCATGCCGAGGAGGTCCTCACCCTCTCCAAGGACTTTGTCTTGAGGCCAGGGCCCTCTTATGCACAGAGGTTTCTGGCAGGGGATGTGCGGCTGAACAAGGTTGGGAACACTACGTACAAGCTCTCTATTGGAGGAGCAGAGCCGTCCGACCAGGGGCAGCTGTACTGCGAGGCAGCCGAGTGGATTGAGGATCCTGATGAGACATGGAAAGACATCTCCCACAAGCAAACAGGGAGGACGTTGCTGGTGGTCATGAGCCAAGGTAAGGCCCTTGCAAACTCACATGTTGACTCCAACTCCTTTATGCATTCAAGGGTCTGTAGCAGCAGCCTTTAGTGGCTTTCGCCTGCCCCTGCTGCAGCCCAGGGACCCACTGGTGGGTCTGGCTGCCTCTGCCAGGCACTGAGGGGCATGGGCTGGGAGAGCCCACTGGCCGATGGCAGCCCCTGCATCGAGAGCAGTTGGTGCTTCTTGCTTTGGAGGGTCATGCAACTGAATCTCCAATGCTGGCAGTGGTTGTGTAACCTCACAGGCCTACGTGAGGTGTAAGCAGAGAGAAAGCAGCGTATGCCTGCAGCAGCCTGGCTCCTTGGCAGTGTTAAGCTCCAGTGGGTGGAAAACCACACTGTTAGACTGCCTTGAGGGTCTCTCGACCTCAAAAACTGAAGCAGACAACAGTCAGCTGCCTGTCATGGTGCCTTGGCCATGGGCATCAAGGGACACAGGGATGTGCTGTGTGTGCTGCATGGCTCTAGTGTCGGCTGAAGATGGCTTGTCTGTCTGTGCTGTCACTAGTCTGCTCGTTTCTAGAACTGGCACTGCTGTTCATTAGATCATCCTTGTGTCTCCTCTTAGTAGGCCATATATGGCAGCAATGGGTCTGCATGTCAGACTGTACTTTGAAGTGGGTGTAGCAAGCTCCTGGCTTATGTTCTAGGAAAAATGTAGTATTAGGTATTTAGAAAGAGGAAACTTAAACCTGGTACTACTTAAAATAGGGAAGTTTGAAAACCAGGCCCTTGTCAGTGCTGCCCATCCTCCTCTACTCTGTCTCTGCCAGGCATCTCCTGTTCCCTCTGCCCAGCAGCTTCCCATGGCTCCTGGCATCTGCAAGCTTTGCATCTCCTCACCCAGGTTGGGTGGGAGACCCCCTCTCTTCCCACTGCCCTGGGATGGTTACAGCCCTGTGTGTTTGCTGCCACTCCTCTGAGCACCCTGCCTGTCATCCCTTCTGCCACAAGCCAGCTGTGGTCCCTGGCCCTGCTCTTCTCCCAGTTGCATGTGGGTAGCTGTGCCCAGAGGATGGGAAAAATATCTTTTTCCTACCAGTAAGTTTTATTTCAAAGCAGCTAGGGCAGGCTAATTGATGAACTTTAACATATGCAGTAGTATGCAGTAAAACAGGAACAAGTCTTTCGCTGAAAACCTGCCTGGGGAGATGGTGTATCCTGTCTCCACACCTCAAGGCAGATGGAGGAGGCTGCAGAGCCCAGATGGTGGGGGAACTGGTGGAGAACCGGTGTCTCAGCAGAGGGTGGTGAGTCAGAGCAGGAAACCAAAGGAAATGGATGGGTAAGGATCAAGCACCCCCTGTATGGCTCAGGGGGGAAAGGTGTCGGGGGAGGGAAGTGCAGTTTCCCACCCTCAAAGTCTGGTTCTTGAAATGTGGCTGACTGGCAAAGCTTTATTCTCCTTAACACGCACTGTTTGCAGCAATGGCTTTCCGTGTCTGCTGCTGCCTGGCAAGTGATGACAGTCAGTGCTCTTTCCCACATCTGCTTGTTTAAGAGTGTTCATCGTGACCGACAGTGTGCAGCTTTGAGTACCAGTGCTACAGAATTTATTATTTGCTCTGTGGTAGCCATTGGGGTAGAAGGGGGGCAGTGGTGGTAAGAGGACAATATGATGGTTGTTACTAGAGCTGCTGGTATTACTGGGGGAAAATGGCAGGGGGTGTACAAGCCATCCATCATGTCTGCAGGGTTCGGGTCTCCCTCCAGCACCCTGTGGGAGAGCCCAGGCTGCAGGGCTGAGTGCTGCATCACGCTCTAACCATGGCCAACGGCTCCATCAGTTTCTATAAACTCTCTAGCAAATATTTGGGAATGGCAAACGTATCTGCAATGACTGGGATTTCTGTTGACAAACTGTTTATGAACCAGTGTTTAAATTCACAGGGTACTGTCTTTCAGTAAATTATTTGAGCCCTTCCAGTAGCAGTCTGGGAGCTGTTCTGTTTTGCCTCCAAACTACATGTAGCCTTGTCCCTGTTAAACATGGGGGGCACTGCTGTGACCCAAGGAGATGGAGTGGTGTGAGCTAGGCTGTCTGCCCAGGGAGTCAGGGATCAGCCCTGCCTCCTGATTTTTGGCCGTGCTGTTGCTGTGTGGGGTAATAGCACAGGGTTTTGGGGCACCCTGTGTGTGTCTGCCTGCATCCACTCTTCAGCCAGGTTGATGCCAGGAACCAGAGAGCATTAGTGGCAGAGGCTTTGTTCTGCGAGGAAGGTGAATTGTATCATAGGACCCAGAGACAGAGTCCATACCTCAGATATGGCTGATTGCCCAAGAGGGTCTGCAGGGGGAAGATGACTTTTTGCTCCCCCTGTTGCTCCCCTCTTTGCTCAGCACCTGCTGCTAGTTGGTATGGAGGGCAGAACAGGGACTAGGAGGTGACCTTCATCTCCTCTTGTTTCCCTCTGACATTCCTGTGCTGTGACAAGTCTTGACATTTTTGCTTTCTGTAGGAACTAACCCAAAACCTCTCCAAATTGCAGAGCGCCTCTTGTCCACATCCTGCAGCAGCTAGTGAGGGCTGCAGCATGTGGGACCAGCAGCATCAGATTCAGACAAGCAACATGAATGTCAGCCCTCTGTGCTCCTTCTCCCACCACAAACAGCAGAGTTAACACCACTGAGTGATAAAGCCCCTTTGTGCCCCTTTCTCGATTAAGCGGTATTTGTTATGTGAAGTAGAACAGCTCCAGGAGTGGAGATAGAGCAGCCCCCCACAAAAGTTGATGCCTCTGGGAGAGGGCAGTCCTTGGTTTGGATGCCTGAGCTGGGTGGGGTGTGGCTTTGGCCCAAGGCTGTCCCGGTGGGTGCTCTGCTCTGGGGGCATTAGCTGCTCCAAAGTGGGGAGCTCAGATCCTTGGGGCTGTGGTGCTTCCTTCACCTGTGACTGCTGGGTAGTGCCTGGACCTGGCAACCGTCTCTCTGTGGGCAAAACTTTCCATCCTGATCACTTTTCTAATGAAAGAAAATGTTTCAGTAGAGAATGCCCCTCTGCACAGCTGTTGGTGCTGCCATGTGCTGCAAGGGAAGTGTGGGCAGGGCCACCCAGCACCTCCTTTGCTTTTGATTGCCCACAGGCAGAGACCTCTCTGTGGACATCGCTGCTGCTGAAAGCTCCCTTTCTGAAGGTGATACCTTGCAGCTAAATTGCACAGTGGAATCCCAGAAGAGCAGCAGCAAGCACTTCCAAGTGCTTTGGTTTCTCAATGGCATGGAACTGGCCAGGGTTGACCCCCATGGGGTGTTGATTTGGAAGGAAGAGTATGAGGAGAAAGCCAAGCTGGGGCAGCTCCAAGCATTCAAGCAAAGCAACACAGTTTATGTCCTCGCCATCTATGAGGTGACGCTGAAGAACAATGGTACGTACCACTGCTCTGTTTCGGAGGTGAAGACTCCTGGAGACTTTCACAGCATCCAAACTAATCAGTCATCAGGTGTACAAGTTGACGTGAAGCCAGTAGGTGAGCAAATCCTAATGTCTGCTTTTCTGGGTAAAGCCTGCAGTGATCCCTGACTGGGGAACACTTCAAGTCTGGCCTCATCTTGGCAGAGGCAACACACTTGCTGTTTGCAGCAAGAGTGCAAATGTGCCATAGATTTTGGTGGATAATTACGGGGAAAACACTTGCTCTGGCAACCATTAGCATGACAGATGCAGCAGCTGTCAACAAAACATAAACCTTTAGCTCAGTCTCTTTGCAATAAGCTTTGGGGCAAATAGAGTTCTGGGGAGGTTGGTTTCTCTTGTGTCTTTGGTACAGAAAATTGTGAGCAATGCCTGTTGTCTGAGGGTTACAGGATGACCCAACAGAACAAACAGGTATTTCTGGATTGGGGTGGGGGAAATCATTGCTGTTTCAGTCGGGGTGCTTGCTCTGTTTGGAGGGATGACTTGTGTAAAACCCCTGTAAGAAAGATGTGTAGGAGACTCTTGGTTTCCTTGTCATAGCTAGATGATGACTAGTCTGATGCAGCAGGAGCTGTCTGTGGGACTCTATTTCTTAAGTATTTCTTTATGTATGTATCCATGTCCCAGAAAAGATGTTAAAGAAAAAAAAAAAAAACAAAGCCCACAAAGCCCTCTTCAAAGTTATAAGAAAAGGCTGTTGGAAAATTTCAGACAATTCCTTTCCTTTTCCAATGTCAAGATTTATCTAGTCTCTCCATTTAATGCCACAGTATCTTTGGCTTTCTCTGAGGAGCACAACAACATCCCCTCTCACACAGTAACTCTTGTTTGGAGAGAGCCACATGTGTCTACCAGCACGCCACAGGTCATGGCGGGCGATGCCTTGATCCTCCTTTGTGAGGTGCAAGGAGAAACTGGCCCTGTGTCTGTGCAGTGGTGGAACCTGCCACTGCAGCACCCTGGTCCCCGGGTGCCCGTGGCCATCATGGAGCCGGATGGTACCCTGAGACTGGGCAGTGCCTACCGGGACAGCGGGACTCGGGGGAGCCTCTGGCTGGAGAAAGCGAGCTCCAGTGCTTTCACCCTGGTGATCCCCAACACATTGGACGAGGGTGACGGAGGGCAGTATGGGTGCAAAGCAACAGAGTGGTCCCGGGACCAGAGTTGGACAGAGGAGGGGGAGACAGCAGTGACAGTCAGCTCCATGGGTGAGTTGGGCCACCCCTATTTCTTGGGCTCTCAAGTTGGACACGCTAGAGGCAAGGCTGGAGAAGCGAATGGACGCATGTGGGTAGAACAGAGGTCTGTGGTGCCCTGAGCTCCACTGCTGCTGCAAGGTAGCCTGAGGCTGATTGCTTGGCCCTGGAGCTTGGCTTCAGTTTCCCCTTTTCTAGCAGGGTACTTGAGTCCTCCATGAGATGTTCTGGGACAGACAAATGGGACACAACAGCTAAAATGCCTGAAGACTTGAAAGGCAGGGCCTTGCTCAGCAGGTCCTTCTGACTCTCTCCTTAACTTGAAATGCAAACTACCTGTTCTAGCAGCCTAATTACTTACAGTAATTAAGCTCAACAAAGATACTTGCTGAGTTGTATGGTGGCCTTTGTCAGAGATACACCTCTGGTGCTGGCATCTCATTGCTTCTGCCTTCGTGTCTGAGCACAGAGCCGCTGACCTCCCCAGTGTGCAATGCCCGTGGGTGCCTTTATGGAGAGACAGCTTTTGGCTGTGATTTAGAATGTTTTTCCTTTCTTATTGCTGGGACAGGTGACTAAGCACTGGTAAGGCCACATGAGTTGTTAGGCTTTTGTGGAGGGTGGAAAGAAGCAGCAAACAGGGCAGCAGCATCAGCAGAGGATCCCTGGCTCCCTGCAATAGGGTGGGACTGGGGAGCCTGGAGGAGAGGGTACTTGGGGTTGCCTTGGGGACCTGGGGGTGGGAGAGGGCCAGGGGCTGGAAGATCACAATGCAAGCTGGGGGACAGCTGCATGGGCAGAGGATCAGTGAGGCTGACGGGTGCCATGGGGCTGTGGTGGTGGGGGCAGTGGGGATGGTGCTCCATGGGAAGGCTGGTGGCAAGGTGGCATGGGGCAGGACTTCTGTCCCAGTGCCAAGGACTCTCTTCTCCTGAGCAGGTCTTGGTCTGCACGCCACACTGAGAAGCCGAATTGCCACAGTCAAATATGGGCAGAGTTTTGAACTCATCTGCCAACTGAGCGCTAGCTACACCCTCGAGGAAGTGCCGGTGTCTGTGGGGTGGCTTTTCCAGCCCAGTCCAGCCTCTGGCCACTACCATGAGCTGGTCCGAGTCCTTCCCAGAGGCACCATGGCCTGGGGGGCAGCGCAGCCACACTTCCAGGGGAAGGCCCAGCTGGCGAAGGGTGCCGCCGCCTCCAGGCTGCACATCCACAGTGCTGCAGCTGCCGACGAGGGGACATACCAGTGTGAGGTGGAGGTCTGGAGGAGGAACACCCTGTTGCTGGGGCAGCCGGTGGCCACTGCCAGATCCAATGCTGTGGGAATAAAGGTGGTGCTGCCAGGTAAGTAGTGCCATGGGTACTTCTTCAGCAGAGCTCTCTCCTTCTGTAACTTAAAATCCATCAAACATAACCAAGGACAACCAGGACCACTGATGGCATGATGATCTTCCAGGGCCACATGAGACAGTGCTGCCTGTCCTGTTTCTTCCTCAGCACCCACAGCTCCTGACAAGACTCTTGGATGCAAATTTGGTGTTGGGGCAATGTCTATTTGTTTGCAGATTACGCCAGTTACATAGGGATTAGCTTTTCCACTAGGATTTTAAGCCTTGTTTCTGGTTATAGTCATCCCCTCTAAGGAGCCCAGTTGAATGCTGGCAGTGTGGGATGCCTCCCACAGTGTGTGCTTCTTGGGGGCTCGAGGGTGGTGGAAAGAGACTGGCCCCCCAAGCTGGTGCTGGGAGATGTCTGTGTCCCCCTGATCTTCCTCCAGTGTATTTGAGATGTGCTGACAAAGCATCAGTGCTCTCTGTGGGGCTGGGAGCTATCTCTGAGCCACAAGGTGCTAGGCGCTCTGGGTGGAGGTATCTCCTCTGAGGCATGGGTGCACTGTGCATCTGGGGGCTCTGCCTGGGGTTCCCTTTTAGGGCCGCCTCTGCAGTCCAGGTCCGCAGTGCCACCATGCCTGCCAGCATCACACAGGGAGCCTTGTCCTCTTATGGAAGAGAGATGTTGTGTATACACCGCAGTCCCCCAGACAGCCCACCACACACCTTCTTCCTGCTACCCCCAGCAGCAGCATGGTGTCAGCTTGCCCTGCTCGTGGCTGGGGCTGCTGGAGGAATTGAGGGCTGTTCCAGCCAAAACCTCTGAGCTTGTGGAGGCAGGTGTGAGAATACAGGGTGGGGTTTTTCCCCCTTGTGTCTCTTCTGCCAGCGCAAGAGAGTTCTTGCTCTTTTTTCATGCATTAAGTGCTTCCTCTGATCCTTGGATTTTTGGGATCACAACCCAGTGAACTGAAATTGTGTTTTCTGTGGTTTTTTTAACTGATGGGTTTGCTGTAGCATAAGCTGATAGATTTCCTTCCCTGTTCAGGCTCGTTTCCATGGTGCTCTTCCTCCTGCTCCACTGCTGCTCTTTCCTCACCCCTGTGGAGCTGTGTGCTGGAGTGCTCTATGTTACACCTGAGCTACAGCCATCTGGGGGCAGGGAGTCTGCAGGGTGGTACTGAGGCTAGGGGTGACAACAGATAGTGTCTGTGACTGTACATTAGTAGTGTAAATGGCGTTAAGATGACCAGGTGTAGTTGTAGAGTGTCTACACAGAGGAGATGATAGCAGCAGAGCAGCAAGATACTATGATGTTTGACTCCAAATGCAGCTGTTACTGGATACTGCAATGCTGTAAAGATGGTGGGAACTGGGAGGGGGCAATGCACGGTGGGAGGTGGCTGCTGCATCTAGTACTGTCTCTCTTGGAAAGGTAGCGTGAGCCAGCGAAGGGCATTTGGGAAGGTAGAGAAGTAAGTCTGGGAAGGAAGTAAGCTCTAGCAGCAATGAGATGGGGTGAAGATGCCGAAAATGAAGCTGCAAATCATGAAGATCACCAGCCTGTTTCTGCATATATAAAATCTTATGATTGGAGCTTGCAGACATGCTGGAGTTCTTGACTTTTGGTTTGTCGCTTTGTTTACCCCTTGGTGTCAGTCAGTGCTTTAGGAGTTTAGACACCATTGTGGATCTGGCCTGTAGCTTCAGGCAGGGTGGACATGCATGAGAGATCATAACAGGAGGGGAAGGAGGGCAGGTCTTTTCCATTTCTGACTTCTTAGGTAGTTCAGCATCTGACTCTTGGTGGTGTCCCATGGTTAGTGCTCTGGGCAGGCAGATGTTGCTCAGTCCTAGTAGGGATGCTCCCATCAACCTCTCAGCACAGCTGCTTGCGGTGGCTTCCCCAAGTCCGGAGTGAGCCATGGGGGGCTTTGCACCCACCACCCTCCGGCTGGCCAGCCTGCATGGGTTGCTGCAGCAGCCATGCCCTTCTGCATGCTCTGCTGCTTCTGGGCCAGGCACAAAGTGCAGTATCAGCAAGCAGGGTTCACAATGAGACGGGCAGCTAGAGGCTCAGCTTGGTTAATTTAAATTGGAAATGAAAGGGGAAACAGCACCATGGCTTTCTGTGCCAAAGGAAAAGGCAGGCTGCTGCTCTGCCCTTCTCAGTAACTGATCTTTAGTGGTAGTGAGAGGAGACCTGGATCTGAAACAAAGGGGCTTTGCAGCAAGTGCTGTCCTTCCTCTCAAGGTGGTCTTCTCCAAGAGCATAACAGCAATTTTTCCTCATAAAAATTAAACACTCACACCAGAAGTTCCCATGTCTCCTTTCTGAGCTCTAGTAGGTTTTGCCTCTCCGGAGTATTTTCTGCCCTGGTGGGTGTCAGGCCAGGCCATACTCAAGTGAGAGGCTCCCACTGGACAGTTTGTCTCCTGTGCTGGCAGCCTCTCTGGGTTTGAGGAAAGGTCCTGAGTTTCACCCATCCACCCCTGACTGCAGCAGTGCTGCCAGGAGGATCTCGCTTTATGGGAAGGGCATGTTCTAGTCCAGCGTGGCCCCACAGCTGACTTTCCTGAAGCTGTTTTTTTTCTGGGAGAGGTGGCAGAGCTGCTTGTGATGAGCGACAGGGCTGCTCTGCCAGCATGCTGTTCCCAGCAGCTGCGGTTGGGGAAGGCACGTCCACATGTCTGACATGGCAAGGCTGTCCCTGATGTCCTCCTCCCCTGGTCCTGCCTGTTCCTCTCCTGTGGCCTTGGCCTTTGAAATAGGAGAAAAGTCTTCAGCTGAAATACCTGGGAGTATTTTTTTTCTTTCCCTTTGGTAGAGTTTGCTTCTGGGTCCCTGAAAAAAGCTCCTGGGCTTCAGCAGGCTAGCTGAGTGATATACCTCTGTAATGAGCAGCTGAAATGAAGAACCAAGTGTCTCTTTTTTCCCAGTATGATCAGTTCACCTGTCTCAGAAAGATAGGGTCACTGAGGTTGGCAGGGACCTCTGGAGGTCATCTGGTCCAACCCTCTGCTCAGGCAGGGCCACCTAGAGCAGGTTTCCCAGGACCATCTCCAGATGGCTTTTGAATATTTCCAGTGTCTCTCTCTGAAGATTTGTGCTTCCTTAGAGCTGGCTCTGGGTTGGACATGCTTTGAAGTACTGAAATTGGAAGACATCAACTTACAGCCGGTTCCTAAGTGTGCTTGAGTCTGCTTGATCTTTGTGTGGGTGGATCTGATTAATTTGCCCAGCTTCCGAATTAGTGATTGCTTTCATGTCTCTTCTGCTTCTTGCCCTCACCTATTTCACCAGAGCAGCAAATATGCACTGTGAAATGCAGGACAGCACTGTGTTGATCCTTCGGGACAGGAACCCCCCAGACCTCCTGGTGAACGTTTGCTGCTTAAATCCTTGCCACTGAGGTGAGGCAGTAAGCAGATACTGGGACTTGTGCAAGTCCTGCTGTGGAGGAAACCGTCAAACCTTTTGGTGAAAATATGTCTGTCTGCAGCGTGGAGAGAAAAGGGAGAAAGAGCAGTAGAGTGCAAAGAGAAAAGAGCAGCATAAGTGGAAGCGAGCAGGGAGATTTTGTTGGCAAATTTTGAGATGGAGGCAGATGCAATGCATGGTGTGTCAAGAACCATCAGTCTTGAGAGCCTCTGAAGCGGATTGCTTGAGTTTCAAGAACAAATGCTTGAAGGAAGGTGAAATGTGTGGTCTTTTTCCTGTGGTGTCCCTCTTCTCCATCAGTCCCTGAGGGAGAGGCCACAGCTCCCTCCTGGTCCACAGACCCTCTCCATAACCAGCTTCCAACACATCCCTAGGGGAGGTGCTTCAGAGGAGAGTGCCCTCCTGCTGAGCCTGTGGCTGAGGGCAGGAGGCTGAGATGCTCTGCGAGGGCACCTCAGTATGTGCCATGCAGCCTGTCCCCCAACCAGCACCCAGGGGCTGAGCTTAAGGGAGCCTGGTTGCCCCTAGCCTCCACAGCACAGGGCACCTCGCTGCTCATCTTGTATGCAAGGAAAATGCTAGGAATGGAAACTCAGCCTACAGTCCCTTAAAACCCTGGTGGTGTCTTGTGCTGAGTAACTTCTGTCTACCCACGGGTAGGTATCTGTGTGTACTCCTTCACCTGACTGCTGGCCCCATCTGACAAAGGTGGTGTCTCAACATGGAGGGGAAGGCCAAGGGGAAACGCAGGTGGTTGGAGGCCCTTCTGAGGGACTGGTTTGCAGCCTTTCTGCTGATGGAGAAGGAAAGGTGCCAGCAACAGGTGGAAGCAGGAAGGGGTCCCTCAAACCTGGAGCAGCGTGGGAGCGTTGGTGTACAATTGAATGATTACTGAGTATAATTGCAGCTCATGTTCAGGGCAGTGTTATGTGATTTCCGATTAATAACCACAGCAAATGCCTGAGATAGTGACTGTTAGTGAAACCCACACATGCTCTGTGATGTCTCTGAGATAAAACACTTGTTCACAGTCTCCAAAGCTGTGGGCTGGTTTTGTCACTTATGTGTGAGCCTGCTGATAGAAGCAGTGGTAGACAGACATGTTTGTGTCAGACGGAGGCTTTGCCTCGAAGCTCCAGCACAACAGGCGCCTCCATCCCCCAGTTCTTGCCCATGGTCCCCCAGGCACCTCCTCCGCTACTCCCCTGCCCTGTAGCACCCAGTGCTTCCTCCCCCCAGTTCAAATAAGGGTGTGTGGATTTGCTCTTTCTCTCCTTCCCTCTCACCCTGTGCTTCCCTAATGGGTCTTTGTCCTCTGAGCACCCTCTTCCTCCCTTCTTTTTTGGCAGATCTCTCAGGCTAGCCTTATTCCTTTCCTTGCCAACATCCCTGTATTGGCCCTGCAGCTGGCATGATTATTTTGTTTCTCCATTTTAGAAAGCAAGCTTCAGGTAGCTACGAAAGAGAGCTCTGTGGAGATTGCTGGTGGTGCTGACACAGCCGTTGAGTGCAGGATCGTGTTTGCCCAGAATAATTCTCAGTTTGCCATTACCTGGTACCTCCTCCCTCCTCCTCCGGCAGATGCAACCCCTCTGCAAATCGTAAGGGCCGACTATACCAGTGTACTGGAATATGGGGCTGAGTTCAGTTCGCCTGCACAAAAGTCCCGATTCCTGAGCCAGAGGGTGTCCAGTAATGTTTTCCAGCTACGGATACTCTCTGCAAACCCTGGGGACCAGGGCAGGTACTACTGTGTGGTAGAAGAATGGCTCTGGCTGGTGGACAGGTGGTACAAACTTGGAGAGGGAGCATCGGGAAGGACCATGCTGGAGTTCAAGCTCCCAGGTAAGCAGGCGGTTATTTCTTGTATAGCTGCTGCTGGAGAAGGTTGGATCAATTTATGATGGGGCCCCCACCAGGCCTCTCCTAAACTGGCAGGGCTTAGGAGAAGCAGCGGCTACTGCATTGGATCTGAGACTTAGGGATGCAGGAGGTGTCAGTGCCTCTCAAAGGGGAATAGGGAATTAGAAGGATTTACCACATCCTCCCAAACCAACCAAGCTGATATTTTTGCCACTGGCAGATGATGTCTAATGCTTCATAACAAAGTGAATCGTGGCATTTTCTTTTCCCTCCAACACATGCTGTGCTTGGTTGTACAGTGCTGTGAGTAGAAAAGAAGCCCTTTCCTGGTACTCCTGAGCATCCTGAAGCAAGACACTCAGTTTTTCTTACCTGCAGCACACTGCTGCTGAGAATGAGGCTGCTTCCACCCTGGGCATTGCACTGCTGACTTACATGGTGGGTCTCTGTGGCTCAGTTCTTCCCTCTTTCAGCCTCACTTGGCTTATGCATTGCAGCCCTAAATAAGGTGGATCAGAGAATTCCAGCTTTCTAAATAGCTTTTGGTCCAAAGAATGCCTTATCACCTATTTGGAGTGGGTGGAAAATATTACAGCAGAGTGTTGTGAACAGGGGGCAGAGATGATACGGGGGGGGGAAACACCCCAGGGAGAATGAGTCACAGGAGCAAGGGGACTGTGGATGTCCTGCGGAGGGTCTTGTAAGAGGCCATCCCAATCCCCCACACTCCACTTGAGAAGATTTCTTTCAGCCTGAGGGTACAGGTGGAAGCATTTCTATGGCATTGCAGTGCTGCAATGTCTCTTTTTGCTTGTACCCTACCCCAGAGCACGAACTGCAGCTGGAGAAAACCAACCGAAGCATCTCGGCGAGGGAGGGCAATGAGGTGACGCTGAACTGTCTGCTGCAGGGTGCCCGCCTGCCCACCACCCACCTCTCGGCCACCTGGTTTCATGGGGAGGAGAGTGGCCACGTCAAGCCCCTGCTCACCCTCCACCGTGATGGCGCCATCGAGTACCACCAGGAGAGCCTGGCAGGGAGGTTGCACCTCCGCCGCCCCACTGCCGGCGACTTCAGCCTGACACTGTGCAGCGTGGAGGAGGGCGATGCAGGCGTGTATCGCTGCCAGGTGCAGGAGTGGCTGCCACAGAGCAAGGGGAAGAACTGGGCTCTGCAAGCCTTGGCACACTCAGGGTACACCCAGCTCACTACCATCCAGGCAGGTAATGCTGCTGGCTGTGAGGGCTTGTTCACCCCGCACTGGTTCCCTCTTAGCCATGCTGGGGTGTGTGGGGAGATAATGGCAGCTCTCTGCTAGTGGTGCCAGATGTATTGGCAAGGATGCAGTGGGCCAGGAGGACTGGCTAAGGGATTGCAGGAGGGGGTCAGTACTGGAAAGATCACCAGAGGGATCCAGGGGAGAGGGGGGAGCCCTTTGAGGGACATGTGCAATGAGCCTGGCTGGGGAGGCAATGAGATCCCATTCCCAGTCCCGTTGATCTGCCAGGACTGAAACCCAGGTGCTTGGCACAGTAAATGTTAGAGGTGCTGGTCGGATGAGATACCAAGAGCTCTGACTGTGAGGCATGTGGTCTGGAGGGTACAACTGAGTGTATTTGTGTCTGCAGTGCTTTGTGGCTTATGGGCTCTCTGCAGGACCATGGGCACAAAATCCTGCTCTCAGTCGTGCCACTGGGGCCAGAATGCTAACTCTTCCGGACAAGAAATTCTTGGTGTGATTTTTCCAGCAAGTCCATCTCCAGTAAGGTCTCTAAAAATAGCTTCTGTCCTCTTGGGGAGAGTTGGGGTACATACGGTGTGCAAAGATAGAGCTGAATTCTGTATACAGAATTTTAAATAAATAAAAGCAAAGGTTTCAGACAGGCGCACACAGTGTTCTTAGGGAGGTAACAGTAAGAAAATACTCTCTTGTTGCCTCTTTGAGGAAATAGGAACTAGAAGGCTCAGTTGACCCACATGGAGGGAAAAATATGAACTGTGAAATCCATCATGTTGCACCAAGCTGAGAGGAGCCTGGAGTTCTTGTGCTTCAGCCCTGGAGCTGCCATGCCTGAAACCAGTCTGGGTGCCTATGTGCGGTTATAGCTTCTGCAGCAATTGTAGTGCTGAGTGATGTGAAAGAGCTCCGGGGACCCTGGAGAAGCCCTCCCTTGTGCCTGCTACTGGCACAGGCAGGCACGGAGCCTATTCGCATGACTCTGCACCTACAGCAGAGCTAATCTGGATTTAATAGCGCAGGGAGGGATTGACAGCACTTTGTCCCTCTGCTGTTATGTTCCTGCTGTTGTCCATCACGGCTCCCTCTAGCACGCAGATTTCTCCTTCATCAGCTTCCTCTGTCTCTTGTTACCCATTACTGGTGGAGTAACCATTGCTAAAATTGTTCAGTAACTGCTGGAAATTTCTCCTTCAATTTCTGTATAAGTGTTTTTGACAAGTGGTTTTCCTGGTTTTCACAAAATACAAGAGATTAGCTGGGTGTTGGTTGGTTTGGTTTTTTTTCTTGTGTGTGTGTTTCTTCAGTGATGTAGGTATCTCAAAATGCACCTGTGGCTCACAAATGTCAATGTTTCAGAGTTTTCTGAGTAGTAATGACACAGCCATGTGCAAGTATACCTATAACCAGGAGTAACTTCAGCTCTAATCCCTGATGCTGCCCTTTAGGATACCTCCTTAGTACTATAGAGGCAGTCACATAAGTAGAGACTTCTCCCCGTTTTCCTGTGGGAGAGTAAATGATGTTTCTATCTGTATGGATGGGGCACAAAGCTTCAGAGGCAGAGGGGTAAAAGCCAGTTTCACAGCCAGGAGTAGCCCCCAGGTTGATTCATCCCTAGGGTCACATGTAGCTCACCAGGCTGTGTGGGTCCCCCATGGACAGCTTCAAATCAACAGACCCCCATGCTCAGCATGGTTCTGCAGGACAGACATAAAACATCTGCACATGGGTCTTGGGTAAAGAGGAGAACTGAGGAACAACACTTTGAGATGGATAAAACAGACCCAAAGGAGTTGGCATGACCCTTCATGGTAGGCCAGGTGCATCTGAGGTCAGTTTGTGGTGTTGAAGCCATGTGTCAAGTGTAGAGATTTGATGGCCAGGATTAATGGGTGGCTGTAAGGAGCCTGGGACAAAAATGGAGAGGCTGCAAATGAGAGCTTTTCAGCTAGCATGGGGCTGACTGAACATGGTTTTTTGAAGTACCCGGAGGGTCCACCAGCAGTACAGGTGGCCTGCCCTCAACTCGGGGGATGTTCTGCAGGAGCTGCTGGGGCCAGGGATGGGGGTCACAACTGCCTGCAGCTCAGCATGGCATAGAATAGCAGAGCAGCAGAAGCTAGGAGGGGCAGGTGTCTGTGGGAGACAGGGACCTCCTTGATCTGTTTTCCTTTGCTTTCTTCTTGTCCCTCCTTGTTCAGTGGTGCAGCCTCTGACAGACCTCTACTTCACCCCACTGTCACTAGTGTCAGGCAGGGACCTGAGGGGTGAAGGGTATGTGGCTTTTCCTTACTAAGCCTAGTTAGCTGAATAGCTGTGCTGTTTCTGTTGGGTTGTTTCAACTGAATGAGATGGGGCCCTATCTGACCTCCCAAAAGAAGAAATTGAGGAAAATTACCTGGTTTCTCTCTGCCTTCTCCTCAGGTAGCTTGTATGAATTCTTAAAATTGGTAGCTATTGAAAATTGAGGGAAAAGTGATAAGATAATCTATAGAAACAGTAGGAGAAACTCAAACTAACTTTGGAGCCTCACTTTTTTTTTTTTCTTAATTTTTCCTTCCAGAATCAACTGTTTTGTCTAGGATCTGCTCATCCCCACCACTGCTGAACTTCATCCTGTACTTACCACTGGTTCTGATTCTTCTCCTGGCCATTGCTGTCTTCTGCTGGTACTTCAAATCTGGAAAAAGCAAGAAGGGAAACATCACAGGAGACCAGCAGATGGAATTGCAGGAGGCTGGAGGGATCAAGAAAACTTAGCTGATCTATAATGGCAGATGTAACTTGAAGGAGTGGAGCTGGACAGCTGAGGAGAACTGAGTATTTGCAGAGGGGCTCTTTATTGTTTTGTAGTAGCTCTTGCAATGAATCATTGCAATGAATCAATGGAACAAAGCAGCTTTGAATTACTAAGTGAAGAGGGTTTTTGTAACAGGCATTCCTGTCTCTTAGGTACCCACCCATTTCACACTCTATTCATTGTGGTATATTTGAGGTCCTTGCACTATGTGTCTCCCACTGTGGATGGAAGTGGTGTTATTCCTTTACAGGTATAAGGGAAAAAAATGCTCTTTTTGCACTGTGACATGAAAGTATAAAATTGCTACTCATTTTAGGTGACTTTATAAAATCTACATGGTGTGCAGGCTAAAAACCAGTGGCAGACCTGGGAATGAAGTACTGGTGTCCCATTTAAGGCATTGCACTGGCCTCTGCCCACCCTTTGCTGAAGAAGCTCTCAGACACTGCTGTCCCCTTGTTCTGAGAGTGCCTGTGCCCAAAGAACATTTTCTCTGACAAGAAATGGGTCATCTTCACAAAACTTGTCATAGGAACATGAGGACTGAGCTGGGACTGAAGTAAGTCTAGCAGGGATACCACAGCCATTCACAAAAAATGAATCCTGTTGACCCAATAAGGGACTTGCATAGAGTCTTGGATCCCAGAAGGAAGAAGTGGACACCAAGCCATCTTGGAGATAGGTGTACAAAGACTGTCTAGCTCCTTTTACTGGGACTGCTGTAGGAGCCCCTCATGCCTGGGCTGTCCATGGGTCAGGAAGCTGCACGACTTGGACCTGGTATTAGACACCTCCAGTTTGCACCTTGTAATTAAAAAAACATGTATGTGCTTGTGAGGCAGTTCTCTGTGCTCTGGGATCCAGCTCAGGCTCACCTTTTCAAGGCTGAGGAGCTCTGCTACCTGAAGGCTCACTGGCTGGTGCATTAGAGGAAAGGAGATTTCAGTCCAGTGCTTGTAAGTCAAAGGATACTCGGTCCCTAATTGCGCAACGTGGGATGTGGTCCCAGCAAGTTGTAACGTCAGACGTCAGAGCGACTCTTAAAGCACTGTCCTCAGACAGAAGCAGCCATATGGAAGTCATGGCAGATGTTTATGAACCTCCTTCCTTTGACCAGAGGGAGGGTCAGAGACACCACAGCCCCTCTAGTTCAAGTCCTTCACTTTCCTTACAATTAGAAAAGCTGTCTGTCCTGTATCCTGAGGACCTGGGAGGTGTTTCAGTCCCTTTCTCTCTGAAAAAAACACTTTTTGCATAAGATCGAAGACTACGCTCTTGTTTCTTTGTTCAGCCACCTCCGCCTGCACTGGTTGGCTCCAACTTGCTCAGCCTTTCCCTGCGGGTTATGTTTTCTGGACCTTGTGCAGCTTTTCCCTTTGCTGTTCTGACCCCAGCTGTCTCTCCTGCAGTGTGAGTGCTCAGAGACACACGTGGGACTCTCTGGAGAGGTTTCCCCCCTGCCTTGTGGGTTATGTCCTGTTTACACATCCCAGTAGGATGTTTGATTTTCTGTGTTCGTGTGACAGCGCGGCACTGTTTACACTTGGCTCACAATTGGCAGGCTCCTTCTCCTGCAGATTTGCTGTCTAGCAAGTTTTTTCTCCACTGTGTGTTCAGGCTGTTGACTTTTCCTATCTAATTGAAGCACCGTTTGCACGGGCCTGTTGAACAGCTTTCCGCACCAGTTTGCGCAAGATCCTGCTGTCTGTTTGTCTTAGTCCTGTCTCAATAATGCTTTAACTCATGGACCAGTTTCAGTCTGTTTTGACAGAGAAGCAGATGCTCCCAGGACATTAAACTCCTACAAGCTTCATGAAAAGTGGTAGCTGGATGAAGGAGAGGAGGCAGACAAGTTGTCCCACGAAGGGAAGGCTGCAGTGTGAGTTGCCTGACAGCCAGCCCTGAGCCAGCTGTATGCTGACTGCCTGGCACCCAGCTTGTAATTAGGGGATACAGAAAGGACACGTAGGTGTGTTAGGGTGTGGGAAATGAAAGAAGGAACCATTTTTGACCATTAGCTACTAACAATTAATCTGTGCATACAGCTTATCTATCAATTTTGTGCTGTTCCTCCCTGTTTTCATTTGGATTGTTTCCTTATCTTGCCTGTAAGAGTACCTTGGGAACATACTTCACAAGCTTTGGTATAGTCCAGAATACATGATGCCTACTGCTTGCTCCTTCCTACACGGCTTGCAGCTTTCTTGCAAGGGAGATTAGGTAAATCTGACATGCTCTGTTCTTGCTTAAAACAAACAGAAAAAAGTTTCTTTTCTTTTTTTCTTGTGTTCTTCTAAGGGCTTTTAAGTACTTTGTCCCTGTATCTCCCTGACAATTGCAGTTAAGATGTAGGTGTTCAGTTTCCCCTTCTTTTTAAAAATATTTTGCCCTTTTCTTGTCACTTGGTGTCTCACACCTCCTCAGGTGTTACCACAGCAAACCACTAACAGATGGCGTGACAGCCCATTCTTCATGTGTCTTTGGATGAACCTTATCAAGACCAGGCTTCTGCTCAAAAATCTTAACTTATTTAGGTTGTTACTCATTACCAGAGTGCTGGAGTGGTGTTATGAGACAGTGCCTACCCTGCTTAAGTGGTCGCCTGTGTGGGTCAGTCTCCGTCAACCGTGCAAGCCCTGTGAGTGACCTGGCTGGGTTCGCTACATCCCCCACGTCTGCGCTGGCGCCTCACTCAGCCACCTCAGCACTCCATTGCAGGTCTGTGGAGGTGTCTTTGCTGTCATCTGATCTTCACGTAAAAAGCTGCAGAGTCTACTGCAACATGAGATTTTTGTGTCTGGGAGAAGAAGGTGGACAGAGAGAGGGAGGCTTCCCAATCAACAGGGCAATTTCTTCTTCTGTGCTGTTTTCACCCAGTTAACTAGAGGCCTGTGTAAGTAGCAGTTTTCTATTCGTGAAGGTTTAGATGTTTTAATTTAAGTTTGTAAAATGTGCCTAGGGCCTTGATGAAAGGGCCTGCAAGAGTGTGTGTTTTTGCAGTGGTGGGATTTTTTCCTCTTTATTTTTTTTCTGGCTTTGCTGGATCACTGCCAAACCTTTTAGCTATATATTTTAAGATGTACTTTTTTCCATGAGTAAACTTAGAATTGTAACTTATCAAGCAAAAGCTCCAAAACAGTGCTATTTTTAAAGAGAACATTTCACTGGGCTGTGGTAAATGTATAAGAGGGAGAGACATGTTTGTGTGGGGGCAGGTTAGGGGACGGTGTAGATTTTGCTGCCGAGGCTCTTGGCCACCTTCACCCACACCCATCATCAACTTTTTTTTCCAAGTCCAGCCTCTGATATAATTTAGAACAGCTGATAATATATATATTTAGCTGTTATATCCCCATGGGGGAAAATGATGCAACAGCACAGACCCTGCAGCATAGCAGTGCCCCTGTCCCCCCAGATGTGCCCTTGCCCAGGAAATGTCCTGTGTGAGGGCAGTGTGCAGTGGGAAGGTCCAGGGTCCTTTCATAGGTTTTAAAGCAGCTTGAAGGGGCTACAGAGCCATCCAGAGCTGGATCCAAGCGGAATTAATCCCCTGGGAAGTGGTTTCATGGAGCTATAGAAACACAAGCGCTGTGTTGTGCTCTTGTGTTCCTACAGGAAGGTATGGAAACTGTAAGGCAAGGGGAGAGCAGCATTGCTTCCCAGGCAAACGAGCACAACCCTGCAGTTTGGCAGACCCTCGCTGTTCAGAAGATGGATGATGTGAGGGCAGAATGGGTGGGAATATAACCCCTTCGTTGTGTTGCCTTCCTGGAATGCTTTTATGGCACCCATGCAGTGGGACAAAGGGTCACACCATGACGCTCTCACCTGAAGATGGGTGCACTGTGGGGACCTTTCACTGCAAAGCACCTCCATCCTGTAAGGTGGGAGGGTGGGTGAAGAGTTAGTTGCTGTGCATGAGCAAAGGGCTTGCAAGCAAGGAGATACTTTGCATCCTCTGTCAGCCAATGGCTCAGGGTTTCCTGGCTTACTCTGCTCCCTGGAAAGAGAGGGTACAGCAGCAGTGTGCTGTCTTGTACTGCTAGGGCAAGGTTGTTTATGAAGGATGCCAAATTTTCAAGAAATGCTTCCAAACAAATGACTTGGAGTTCTCCTGGGATGTCCCCTCTCAAGCAACATGTCTTCATTCCTTCTTATTAACTCTTGAGTTGGTTTTGAAATTAGACATTCAGTTTTCTTCCTGTGATAATATATTTAAAAACTGAAAATAAAAGATGCCGTTTTGAGATGTGCTTTGGTCTCTCTTGATGCCATTTTGCATTACAGCTGGTTCCTGCAGCCCCTGCTTGTTTCATGTGTCCTTTGGCCTTGGTCTTTAGCACCTAAGACAAAGCAGAACCGCTCGTAGGACTCTCAGCCTTCTTAACCACTAAGAAACTGCTGCATTGTATCTGCCTACTGCTGTTTTTTTGGTCCTCCTTCTCTAATCCTCTGCCCTCTTTTCTTCTAGCAAATAATGTGGGATTGCAGTCCTGCTGCACAGGGTAGGAAAAAGCTGCCCTTGCTCTAGAGCAGTGCTTTTTCAAGGCAGAAGCAGTACAAATCGTGGGGCTCGAGGTGGGAAGGATGTGTGAAAGGTAATGTGGTATCTGTCTTGCTTTGCTACCACAGCAAGCAAGAGAAACCAGCTCAACATCCTTTCAGCCAGCTGCGCTTACTAGCAAAGAGGCTGGTTGTAGTGATGTGGGATTGACAAGATTAATGGTCCCCTACCTGCTTGGACATTTAAAAAAAAAAAAAAACAACGTAAAATCCCTTCGTGGACATTGTTTAAACCAAACACGAGTGTTTCCCTAGCAGCTCCTATTTAGAAATGCAAGCTGAAAAGGAAGCAGAAACACTACTTGTTTCTGCAATCTGGACAGGAAGCAGAATACTACAAGCAACAACTTTGAGCATGTGCTCACCTGGTCTTTCTTGCTTTCATTCTTTTTTTTTTTTTTTCTGTATGTTTCTAAAGAGAGTTATATGTTTATAAGTGATGCTGGCAGGGAGCTGAGCCCTCTATAGCCACTGTCAGTGAGCTCTCCAGGAATGTGTGAGTGCAAGCTTGCTACTGCTGTTGCAAACCACTGACCTCCATCAGCTGTTTTATTTAAAAAAATAATCTGAGCAGGGGGTATATTTTCTTTTAATTGACACTGTGCTTGCTTCCCCTGCAGGCACCAGGTACAGGTTGTGT